TGCTGCTGCTGCTGCTGTATGTGTCCTAAATGTTAATCAAGCATCAGAATAAAAAGAGAAAATCAGTCACTGCTCCTGACTGAGCAAACAGTGAGATTTCACTGGTATGTAAAATGTTATAATTTAATGCACATGAATGTGTCTTCAGGTGATCTGTGGAGTTACGACTTCTACAGCGGAGAGTTTGTAGTGTCACCAGAGCCTGATACCGCTGTTATCAAGCTGAATTTGAAGCAGCACCGTTACGTCATCTTAGGCAGTGATGGGTTATGGAACATGGTATCACCACAGGAGGCTGTGTCTATTTGCCAGGAAAATGACTATGCCAAGGTGAATCATTTAAATGTATGCTTCAGGAAAGGTCTTGATTGTGTTTTCGAAACGTTTGCTTATCTAAATGTTTATTCCAACAGGCAAAGAACCAAAAGGAAAATGTTTCAAATGCTGTTCTGCTCGTAAACCATGCCTTACTGAGATGGCGTCAACGCATGCTCCGTGCTGATAATACCAGTGCCATTGTTATCTGTTTGGAGCCGTTCGGGACATCCGCTGAGTGTTTGCCACCTTATGAGACTGTGTATAATCTACAAGGACCAAAGTGTGGCTCCGTTCCTAAATCTTGCACCAACTCTTTGCCCACTCAGGTTAGGAATGTTTCAGATTTTCTATTTTAAGGCATAGTAGACCCAAAAATGAAAATTTGCTGATAATGTACTTACACCAGGCTATCCAAGATGTAGAAGTTTGATTCATCATCGGGATATATTTGGATAAATATAGCAGTACATCACTTGCTCACCAGTGGATTCAATGCAGTGAATGGGTGCTGTCAGAATGAGAGTCCAAACAGCTGATAAAAACACCACAGTAATCCACAACAGACTGTTCACCAATTGACGTCTTCGGAAGTGAAAAGCTGTGTTTATAAGAAACAAATCCATCAATAAGGCGTTTTCACTTTAAACTGTTGGTTCTGGCAAAAACACCAGTCCATAATCCATAATAACGCTTCCTCCAGTGGAAAACATCAAAATCCACTGACATATTTGTTTAAAACGGTTTTGGACTATGTTCAGTTGTTAACAGTGCTTGATCTGTGCATATTTCTCTCCTGATTTAGACAAGACAACATTTTCACTGGAGAAATCTATATTATGAATAGAGGATTTGTATTTTAGCTGAAAGCAAAAAATATGGTTTTGTTAATTATAAACACACAGCTTGTAGATTATTATGATGTTTTAATCAGCTGTTTGGACTTATTCTCACGGCACCCATTCACTGTATAGGATCCATTGGTGAACAGGTGATGTAATGCTGAATTTATTCAAATCTGTTCCGATGAACAAATAATCTCATCTTCATCTTGGGTGGCCTAAGGGTGAGAACATTTTCTGCAATTTTTCTTTTTTGGGGTGAACTGTTCTTTTAACAAAACACCAGTATCCATTTAATTAATTAAGGCCTGCTTCATTTTAAAAGGCGGTTGTTTTTCTTTTGTATTATATTGTGGATTTTGATTCAAAATAACACCACACTCAAGCTTCATATATAGTTCCTTCTTTTTTTTTAGGTTCCTGACGTTCAAGTACAGCCAATCCCAGAGCAGCATAATGGCAGCTGTGAGACAAGCATGATATTTGAGTCATCTCCGGATAGCCTTACAAACTCTGAAGACCTGCCTTGTAATGACTCATTGGAAAATGAGGCCCATTGTGACAGATTGCCTACAGGCAAGCGGGTGCTAGAGGACTCCTCCTCACCTGTGCTGAAGAAACCCCGTCGTAGTTTGTCCCAGTCCCCTCTTAAAGAGTCCTCATGTACATCCTCAAAGATACCGAGCGCACAGTCCTCGGCGAGGGGTGGTGGTGGCGGCAATGGTCAGAAACAGTCTGAAAATGTCCAAGCGCTGCTTCAGCAGCATGGGAAGACTACTGTATGTGTTTGCTGACATTCATGGTCCTATAACAATGCAATCTGTACATTCATGCTGGACAGTCAGACTCTGATATTAGTTGATATAAGCTAGGGTGACCATACGTGCCATTGTCCCAGGACGCGTCCTGGCCAGGATTTCTATATTGCCTAAAATATCTAGGTTTTGGCTTTGTTTGCGTGTGCAGACCGATCGGTGTATGACATCAAAATACCTCGAGAGCATTTTGAAATTTTTCTGCACACGCAAACAAAGCCAAAACCTAGATATTTTAGGCAATATAGAAATCCTGGCCAGGACGCGTCCTGGGAAAATGGCACGTATGGTCACCCTATATAAGCTACTGAGAAACCAAATCCTGAAGCAAGTAACAAATGTCAAAAGAAAAAAAATATCACTCGCTTCCATTCACGACACTCAAGTTTTAGTTTATGTTAGTGTTATGTTGTTATACTTTATATTTTGCAGACTAATGAAAATGTTTGATTTTTTAAAATGAGTTTTAGTTTTTCCTCCATTGTGTGTCCACTGCTCAGTTCTGTTATGCTTCAGGTCAGTCAGGTAGACGTGATGGATCAAATAGGGATTTTTGCACTTTAAGTTGAATTTGTGCAGTCTTTGTGGAAGATTGTGGGGAAAAAAGAAAGAAATTCTATCTTCTGAGAAGATATTTCCCTGCAGCTTACATGTCACCTGTTATATTTCATCTTTTTGGGAGCAATGCTATGGTTTTACTGAACAAGGAGAATGGTTCATCATTTCTAGTGTTCACTGGTATCTTAACCCCGTGTCATAAGATTTAATGCTAACATTGTATGCAGGAATGAACTTTATGAATTATGCATTTTGAATTTTAAGCATTATGGTTATTTTAATGTTTCCAAGGATTTCATTAACATTGTTTTTTTTTTTCTTATGATGGGAGAAATTGTCATTCTAAACTGAAGGTGCTGCTATGCTAAACAGGTCAATAAAAATGTTACAATAAAAACTGTATGCTCTTTAATAAAAATATTGGAAGTTGTTATAGGGACAAATTAAAACAAGAAATAGGATTTCAATTTGTTATTTTAATATAACTAGTTTAAATAATTTAAAGACGTCCTTTGACGATAAGAACCATTATACATTCCTTCATAGTTTCCAGTGTCTAAAACTTCGTTTTTTTTCCGAAAGAAGCCGAGGCTGTGCGAAGTAGCTCGGTTGGTGATCATCACGCGATACTTCGATGTAAATAAACACATCAGCGTGACGTGATGTAACATGCGCGTTTATCCAGGCCTTTGTGCAAATGTTCAAATGCGGAGATGCTCATATGAGTGTGAACCAAACAAATATTGCTTTATATAACACTTCATCACGATGTTAATTTGAACAACGCGTCAGATTCGTTCAGCGAACAAACAAACCCAAACAGTCCCTGCCATCCACTATTGGTCAGAAAGGGCCAAGTGCCCACCTTTGTCCTAACACTATTGGCGGTCTGTCTCCGACGCTCATCTCTGATTGGCCAAGGCATCTGTTGTTTCCGCTGCATGTCAGCTTCACTGTGGCGTTTTGTGAGGACTTCTGTTGATCCGAATTCAAAACACAAAACCTCTGGTTAGTACAAATGTCGCATCGTTAAACATTCAACTGCACGTTTCTTACATACATTACATATATATTTCTTTCAGAAAGTGAGAAAAGTTATTGTCACTACTCAGTTTATTGTCTTTGAAGCGTTGAAATGGCAGATAGCGGTATTGGCTAAGCTAACAGACTGGAGATTATCAAGTCGATATGATGAAATGTTGAACTGACTAAACTCACAGCTGTGTTTTCTCTGACACACTCTTGACATCTCTTTGGACATTGTCTTGGATTAAATGGTTAAATCTATGGTAAAATGTAAAGAAATGAAGAGCTACTTACATTATTATGATGGTGATAATAATGGTATATACATCCTATAGTTTGGTTACTAGTAAATATTGCTGGAGTTGATTGAAGTCTTTTCTGTAGTTTATCTCGCTTGTCGTAACAAGTTTGTATTATAGATCGTTTACAGGATCAATACTTAATAGGAATGGGTCTGTTGTGCAGATTGAACTGAGCCAGGCACATATGTGTCTGATTTGTTTACATCCATCTGCAAGGTGGATGATCTGTAGTGGTGCAGATATCATTTGTAGCCTATTACTTCTGTTGAATTTAGAGTAATACTGAGATCAGAATGATCAATTAGGCATCTCTGCAGTAATGTTTATTGTAATGCTCATGTGAAAATCATGACTCTATCTTCTCATGCTCTGCTCCAACAGGATCCTGAGTGGTTGGCCATGGCGTCTGACTCCCCGCGCAGACCGAGCCGCTGTGCTGGTGGGGTTGTGGTTCGAGCACAGGCTGCAACGTAAGACCATAATGGCTCATTTGTGAATGAAATTACAGTTGTAAAGCCAATTCAGTGATCACTATTGTAAATGTTGAGATGTTGGTCCTAATAAACAAAATGGTGATAAATATTGCATTGCTGCTCAAGCTTTTAGGTTTAAATGGCCAGGTCTCTTCTTGTGTGGTTATATTATTTTCATGAGAATAGTTTTTACTGTTTTGCAGAGAGCAATCATACATGGAGAGCGTAGTTACGTTCTTGCAGGATGTAGTCCCTCAGGTAAATGTTTTTCCTTTAAATTATGCTTGTAATTTTGTGTACAAAACTGGAGATTCACTTTTTTATGTGTGTTGTCGTTTAAAGTTGGATAATGTTTAATTTTCAATGTATTTCTGTTGTAAAAACGTTGAGAGCCTATGAAAGACTCTTTTTAGACATATAAGTGATAGATAGTGAGAGCAAGAACAATTTAGTTAGATGATATCTAGCCTGTATTAATCTTTGAATTTTCAGGCATATACTGGGACACCTCCAAATGATGAAAAAGAGAAGATAGTTTGGGTCCGCTTTGAGAAAACAGACATCAGTGGTAAGTTTGTGCTGCATGTTTTGATTCACTAAAAGGACCAGCTCATATGAATCATTTGTTTGTTAGTCAGACTATATCATATTGGTCATGCTGCATGTTTTTGGTTCACTAAAAAGAACTGGCTCATAAATATTTTGACTTTTTTTTTTTTATATAAATTTGACTTAACCACATTTTTACAAAAAAGTTTTAACAAGCATTGAGATGTTCCACACAAATCCTAAATGTGGTTTGGGGCTAGTCATATTGGGTTAGCAAAGTTTTTGGTTGCACCAACGTTGGATCATCTTAAATGCTGACCATGCTCCTCAATCCAGCAAACATGTCATGAGGCATGCATAGACATAGCTTTCCTAATTTTCCAGTTGTATTGGCACTTGTATTGACAGCCATGGTCTTTTTTTTTACACTTTCTTTTTGTCAGAAGAATAAAAACAGTGGCGATCAGAAAGGTGCTATATTTGGCCACTTTTGAATCATTATTATGTGTTCCATTTTTCTAATCATCTGCATCTTGTTTGTTTATTGAGCTGTTTACAACTTACGTCAAGCCTTTGTGAATTACTTGCTTTGTGAATTATTTGTTGTACTTCTGTGTCATTTCCTACAACTTGTGTTTCTTGCCCTGTGTCCAGATGTGGCTCGCTTACCAGAGTTCCAAGAGATGCACGGCAGCGGCACTGACCCGCCTCTCTGCTTGATGATTGGATACACTGATGGAATGCAGATTTGGAGCATATCAGTGAGTACATTTTAAATGGTCTCTCTTGCCTGCACTACACTGGCTGCTTCTGAATATGCATACTTGCTGACTATGTAGTAGGCTAAAAATAGAATGTGAAAAGAGTAGTATGTCCGAATTCACAGTATTCATAAAAGAGTAGGCAAAAATTATTTGGATAAACTACTACTTCTGGTGAGATTCTGACTTGCACAGCCAGTGGACACTGTACTATCCCATGAGGCTACTGAAGAGAAGTTGTGAATGGCAGTGAAGTGATGCAACCAATGCTGTAGGTCACATGACAATGATAACATGACAAATATTCTGCAATGCTTTCATATAACACACATTCATACTATATAGAACATATTTTTTAACAGTTGCAAATTACACCACTTAGCATTTTTGGATGCAGCCAGCATGCTTTTCTCTAGACTACTCTTTCTGTATTGACAAAGCAACTGGAAATCATTCATTTTGGTGACAATAAGGTGTAGACAGCGAAGCTCAGCAGTGAAATCAATACTGTTGTACTGCCTACTACATACTATCTGGTGTATACTGCATTTATTGTCCTTTGTTTTGAAAATGAATACGGGAATTTGTCTTTTTTTATTCCAGTTTTGTATTTAAAATCAATATTTAGTCAAATATGACTCACAAACGACCTTAAAATTGTGTTTGATATTGCTCAGTTGCTGTGTTATGCTGTGACTCTTTTTCACCACTTGGTGTCGCCATAGACAAAGGCAAGGCTGTGTCCTGGAATACAGATTTTAGTATTGAAGTTGGGTGAAATTATGTCAAGATGCATGTTAAGCTCTGAATCATGTCAAATGTGAAAAGTAATGGTAACTAAACATGATATCGCTTCCCCAGTAAAGTAGTGAAAATGTCCATTTCAATTCAAAAGGTTTCTCAGACTTGGCTGTCTCAGTCATATGGTAGTAGAGATCAAGATATCGGTCATATTATGTGATTTGTCACCCTGACTAAGCCTTTATTTTAGAAAAAATGAAAGTCCTGACAGTTATCAATTTAGGAAAGCTTTGCACTTCCTTATGACGTGAATTTGGAAGCATCATTACAGACACAACATCTCACACTTTTTGTGAAAGTGTTGAAAGCGTCACAGTGTCTGGCTATAAGTTGTGTGCAAAGTGTTTGTGACAATTGCTGAACCGACACCTTCTGTAATGGCGTTGAAGGGAGGAGCAGGAGTGGCACTAGCTGTAGTACATTTCTGCATTCCTGTGCATTAGCATCTTGATGGAGCAGACCCAGCAGTTTTTTTTTAAGTATCTTGCTTTGGTTTGTCCACAGATGCCTGATGTTTATCTTCTAGTTGTTGGGTGACTCATTATCAAACCACATCACAGCCGCTGCAGACCAAACAGAGCATTGTGTGATTCACTGTCGAGTACTTTTATGTTAATGTTCCAAAAGGGATGCCACAGTATTGGGTGTTTCTCAGTTGGACACTCTGTGTCAACACTTTCAAACGGAATGTGTTAGCTGATGTACAAATACAAGATAAAATGCTGGAGCCCTGTCAACTCTGTACTGTAATTATAAGGTTGCCATTTTGTCTCGGGCCTGATAACCTTTGAGATGTGGCTCTGGTACAAAACCATATGCACCTCCAGAGTTTATGCATCACCACATTCTCACACCCACAGTACTCTTTGCTGTCTTTGAACTGAGTTTATCTCTGTAACATCACTGTCCGGTGGGTTTTAAGCATGTCTGTTTGTTTCTTCTCTCTGCAGCTGAACGGGGAAGCACAGGAGCTCTTCTCCGTGAGGCATGGACCTGTGCGAGCTGCTAGGATCCTGTCTGCTCCTTATATCAGTGAGTATCATACACCCCAAAAGCCTTGGCTTCACTCATTCTGCAGAGCCACATAAGTGCATGACTTTTATCATATAGTGGCCCCAACAAAATGTTTTTGAAATCTAACAAAAAAATTTAATACTGCATAGGCCTAGCAATATGCAAATCTTGGCATACATTACCATTCAAAAGATTTTTTTTTTTCAAGAAATTAATACATTCATTAATCAAGGATACATTACATTGATCAAAAGTAACAGTAAAGACTTGTTTCAAATAAAAGCTGTTCTGTTTAACTTTTTAATTCGCCAATGAATCCTAAAAAAGGTATAACGGTTTCCACAAAAATATTAAAAAGCACTATGCTGTTTTTCAATTTTGAGAATTTCTGGATGATCATGTGACACTGGAGTATTGGCTGCTGAAAATGAATCTTTGCCATCACAGGATGATAATAAATTACATTAATTTACATCACAATTTTACAAAAAAAAGTTTTACATTTACATTGCAATATTTCATAATATTACTGTATTTCTTATACTGTATTACTGTATTTCATAATATTACTCTATTACTTATTTCTGATTAAATAAATGCAGCATTAGGTAACATAAGTAACCTCTTTGAAACACACACACACACACACAAAAACCGAAACTTACAGATCCCAAACGTTTGAATGGTAGTGTAGACTGAACAGCAAGACAGTAGTGATGGGAAAGCTGCATAGGGTGAGCTTATGGGTCTGTCACGTGATGAACAATCGACTCGGAAAAACCCAAAGACTCGAGAGATGAACTAATCAATTCTCTTTCCGGCTCAGACTGCATAGGTTAAACTTATGGGGCTGTCACGTGATGAACGAATGACTCGGGAAAAACCCGAAGACTCGAAACCGGTGAACTACTTGACTAATTCCAGTACAGAACCTATAGGATGTTGCGCATGCGCAACTGAACGAATCACTCCCCGAGACGACTCGTTCCTCCTGAGTCACATTAAAGATTCGTTCAAAATGAACGAATCGTTCAAGAATGACCCAACACTACAAGACAGTTTCTTTTTTTTCTTTTTCTTTTTACTTTGGCATCCTAAGAAGGCACAAAAATTTGGTTGCATTACATTTTTTTATAATTGCTTTAAAAAAAAAAATGTAATTAAAAATATCCCCCCCCCCCCCAACTGCTTTCTAGAATAGACCTAAGCTCCATCTTAGGCTTATAACCCCTGCTAGAAGACTTTTCATTACTACAAGTAAAACTGCTGCTCTGAAATATTATTATAAATTCTACATTCCAGTGACATCTTAATTTTCAGCTTGTCAAGAACAAGCGTCCACCTCCAAATTGAAATATGTGTTGACAGAGCATGATCTCCCGCCACGCTTAAATGTTTTTCATGTCATGTTACATAAACGGCACGTTATTTTACATGTCATGTTTGTCACTATTATTTGCCTAGAAATTTGCAGAACGTAAAATCAGTTTTCGCAAGTTACATGCTTTTTCAAATCAAGCTAGACCGAGATGTGGCAATTTATACAGTTCCATGTCTCTCTTCCTTACTGGCTTTTCCATATATCATGTTTAAATTAAAGACTACCCTCTGTTTCTTAATAGCGCTGAGAGCTCGCCAGAGCCCCGCTGTTTTCCCTTCATAATATTAAAATCAGTCCTTCACAATTATGTTGGCGTGCTATCAGCTGGCTGCCTGGACTTTTACCGCCGCTCTGGCAGAGAGGAACTGCAGACTTCTGAGATTTTCCTTCTCTTTCATCACGGCTCACTCATTGGCAATCGCATGCCTGTGCTCATTCCATTTGTTAAAGAACGAAAATGAATAGTCTGACAAAAAATGCACGCTACATCTTACTAAACTAAAATGCACGCAACCTGATTAGGTATGCTTAAATATTAATGTTATGCCAAACTGTCCCTTTCACATTTTTTTTTCTTCCTGTTTGATGATTTTGCACACTTTGTTATGACCAAAACAGGATATTATCTGTTCAGATATTATATAGTCAGATTGTTTTAATCTAAATAAGTGGCATGGTCATATTCAAATGTAAAAACAAAAGGAACAGGAAATGCACTGAGTCGTATTGTAGTGTGACATTTATGCACAGAATTTGTGTTCTGTCCTTTCGGCAGATTTAAACAATGCACAATAAAGGCATTGAACGCCGGCTGGATTCAGATAAAAGAGAATGGTCATAATAAGAAGCAGCAGACGGCCGACACATGAGGAGAACGCTTCTCAGCTAAATCAAATGAATTTTACAAGTGGGGAAACTGATTGTGATCTGTTTGGAGCAAACAGTGTCATACTGTAGTGGGATTTAAAAAGAGTAATTGTTTTAGCTGGGTGAGCGGATTTGGAAAGTCCTGAAAATAGGTGTCAACTTTAATAATGCAAGGTCTTTCCCAGAATAAAGGAGGAAGTTCCGCTTTCTCTAAAAATGCAAACTGACTTTTTTTCCGCATCCGTTCTGTTTTTGACTTCTGCTGTTGTTTCTGCAGTGATTCATTTCCAGGTGACCGCTACGGATGGTCATATCCACAGCTGACCAAAAATCTGCGATTGCTTCCTCTCCGTTTAAATTTACCCCACTGCTGAAAGCGCACTCGTAAATAGCTGTCCAATAAATGTATTATTTACTGAAATGCAGGAAATTTGTTATGTCTTCCAGAAAACAATTCTCTCAATATTTCACAGCATAGATTGAAAACAGGCACTGGAAAATACAAATGAAAACCGCTTGTTTTAAAGTCCAGCCGTTTTTGAGACACACATCTACAGATGGAGAGGAGCAAGGGGTGGTTTTCTGCCCCTTAATTGTTCTTTCAAATAGAAGGCAGCTGTTGTCTTTTAGAGGCCTGTCGTATTTACATTATGATTGGATATCGTGACCAGTCGCAATGTCTGATGACAGAGAAGTGAAGACGGAGGAGAGGCCCTTTAAACTGTTAAGGTTTGAGAATGACACATTTGCACTCACACGCCACGCCACAGGGACCGTACGTTCCTGGAGTTGATTAGTGTCATGGCATGGCTACCCAAATTACAGCTCCACAAAGGCTAACATCTTCTTCTTCTATCCGGACATGAATGGAAGTTTTCCCCCTTCTCTTTTAAATCAAGAGAATTAGATAAGCATGGGATCTGTAAACTCAGTGCGACATGTTTTCTCCACCCAAAATATGCCTACCGGCCTTTTGCCATTCTGTAATTCCTCCGAAGCTCTGAAATTAAAGCCAGTCAGACAAAAGACTCCTCCTAAAGCTTTGAAGGCTTTCTCCATTAGAGTCGGAGGAGAAATGGTTTGCATTCAACACGTTGCACTGAGTGGCGTTTCTGTTCTCTGTCTCCATTTAATGTCTTGCATGCTGGTATTTTAATTTCATTTGATCCCCATAAGTCTCTGAGGAATAGGGCATTATTCTCTTCTATGTGAGGGTGTGTGAATGTCAAAGCTGACAGGAAAGTTTTTTTTTTTTTGAGGATGTTTTCAAGGCATAATTTTGATTACAGATCTCTTGTAATGCAATCAACACGCTTCCTGCTGCGGTAGCTGTTTTTTAAGCTCAAGTTCGGTGGGTGGGTGGCTTTGGCGGAGAGACAACAGGCCTCATGTGCGGGTGGCTAATGAATGTCCCTCTTTATGTGGGTCAGTGGTTAATGTTCCCCTTTCTGTCCCTCCGGCTGCAGGTTCCCTCAACACTGACAGCTTCGCTGAGAAACGGCCCCTCCTCAGCGTGTGCAAGAGCACGGGCTCTTCGGGGTGAGTGCACAATGACAGCGTCACTTCCACTGTCAGCTCGGCGCAGTGTCTCGCATGGTGCCGGAGCATTCATATCCACAGGTCACGTCTGGTTGTTTTTCAGCTGCACACAAGCACAGTTTCAGCACAAACTGAGGCTGATGGCAAAATAATATGAGTTTATCAAAAGCAGATGCATTTATTGTACATTTCTAAATTGCTTAATGTTCCATTTGTTTAGTTATTATCTATCCATCTATCCGTTCGTCCGTCTGTCTGTCTGTCTGTCTATCTGTCTATCTATCTGTCTGTCTGTCTGTCTGTCTATCTATCCACACACTAAGATTTTTTTTTTTTGGAAGAAATATAACAATCATTAAATTGACCAACATGTTAATAATATAATGTACTATGTTTAAATAATAACAACAACTATACAATGTTACTTTTTTTACTCTCTTTTTGATCAACAAAATGCAGCTGTGGTGAACATGGTAGAATTCTTTGAAAATATAAAAAATCTTACCAACCCAAACTTTCAAACAGCTGAGTGTATATACATATAGTTTCCATATATTTATATATGTGTGTGTGTGTGTATATAATTTAAAACATTTATTCTAAAATGAGCATTTTTCTCAGGCTCCTATTGCAAAGAACCTATACCTTTAGGAGCGTCAGAAATAGCGGTTTCCCGGTAACGGCTGTAATCAAAACAGCGCTGTGCTCATAAACGCTGCTTTATCAGGCGTTATAGGAAAGATTAAATGAAAATGACATCAAAACTTTTCTAAACACAGCCAGTGCCCTTCAAAGATACATTCATATAAAAACATCCGCGCTGCGTTTTGACTTTGAAACGTGCAGAGCTCATGTTTATTCAAGTTTAAGTTTTTTATTCATGTTTATATTGTCAATGCATTTTGGAAAATCTATTTGTGGCGGTCAGTGTTGATATTGTGGCGGGCCGCCACAAATAAATCAATGTATGGGAAACACTGTATTATTAATTAGTTGTTACAACTATTGCATTTAGCTGTTATTGTGAAGGTGTAGGCTGTGAAATAATTTTGTAGAGTGTAGACTTTTGGTCAGCTGTGTATTTTTATTTTTGATTTGAGAAAGGCCAGTTGAGGTTGAATGCAGGCCAGAGGCATTTAAGATCTTTGCATTTTCCCCCAAGTGAAGTTTATGGATATAACAGGCTTGTATCCATCTCCTGGCATGCACAACACGAGTGGAGACATGTAAAACTCTTCATGAGGTGAAACCTATGTGCTAATGGAATGTTCCGTCGTTGTCCGGTTTATGGCGTTTTCCCGTTTTAACGTGCGGTGGAGTCCAAGCCACATCCCTCAGTGTGTGCACCATTTAGATATTATGAGGTACAAATCAGTACATTTTAAAACCTGTAATTTGTTATACATAATAACCTGCATCAAAGGTCTGATGGGGCCAGGGAGTGGTCTGGAGAGAGACGGCCAAACCCTGCTGACTGACTGACCGACCCGGTCGGCTCCAGAATGCCAGACCTGCAACCTTGGACCCCTAACAGAGTCAAACTGCAGTCTGTGAGAAATATGCCCCCTTAGGGAGTGAGAGGGAGCAGGGCACATCAGTTATTGGCTCCTCTCCTCCCCTCGGCTATGTCTGCCACCTCTTAAAACGAACTACTCTGCTGCTGCTGCAAATCTTAACTCAATATTTCCTCCCGAGGAAATAGAATAAGGAAGTCTGTCTTCAGCACACTTTGATGGAGACCACCATCCCAGCCATTCCAAGACTAGAGCTTTGCTCTGCTGGCGCTTATGCAGCCAAACGCGCCGTGTCCGCCCTGACATGGAGACAGACTCTGACGGTTTGGCTTTGTACTCCTGCAACGCTTGGTCTAATGCTGAAAACATGCCTTGTGTTGAAAACCATAACCCTCTCCCTCCGGGTGAATGGTGTTGCTGCTGCTACGTTCCAGTAGAAGTGTTTGGTAAATAGCCTAGCTCTGTATTTTTTAGCTGCACTGTGCTCGGTTCTTTCCCCTTTACTGAAATAGTTCATAAACTTACCAAAGTCCTCACACGATTTTTAGTATATAATCTTTTTGAAATAACAGCTTTTGTCAACCACCAGTGTGGATGCTGTCTTGACACTCAAATGGAAAACAGATTGCAGTCTTGGCCGATACAGCACTGCTGGTTTAGAAGTTGGTTCACTCAGCTTTAGGCTTAGATTACAAGATTTGCAAATTAAAGGAAAACCAGAAAGAGGAAAAAGCATGTGTGCTAAATCCTTCGTTGCAGAACTCCAGCCAGACACATTCAACATAATTTTATCAATGGAGGGGATTATGTCTTAAGTCCAAACAATGTATGGATCTGGTGAATTTCCTGACAGCAATGTACACACGCCGCCCTTCGTGCCGTGCTACAGTGCCGGTAGGGTTTGCAAATTAGCAAGGAATGTATGTGCTATTCAATCCACCGTTGGCCCCCACTTGTATCTGGAAAGGATTTGATTTTCCACCATACCATTGTTATTATTTTATTTTTTTAAATTAGTGCTACAGGTATTACAGTGACCAGGTTGAGCCTGTGTTCTCTCATGCCAAATACATGCAACTTAGTTTATATATGCTAGCATATAGATGGAATGTAGCCATTAAATTCTCATTTTTAATTCATGAATCCAAGGTCTAACAACATTAAAACCCAAAGTTAAATAATTAAAAAGGTAAATAAATACATAAATAAATAAATAAAAATGAAAAATGGTTAACAAAATAATAATAGTAGTAATAAATTTTTTTTTTTGTTAAAAACATTTGATATAATCTCAGACAGTATCGGGAGCTAAGAAATTAAAATTAGTCATTAAGCTGGGTTTAAAAGCATGCCATTTAACCGTTCGTGGCTTCTGTAGTGAGTATGTTTGGAAAGGGTAAAAGTTCACCTCACAAGAGGCCTGCTTTTGTTCTCTGGATTGTGGAGAAATTAAGTTGTTGGGCAGGCAGAAAACAGTGCCCTCTCTTCCTTCCCCTCAAATTTCCAGATCTCCATGGTAAGGAAGTGGATGAATTTTTTCTTTTATTTATTTATTTTTTCAGTCCTCTAATGCAATCCTCTGTCATTGTGGAGATTACAGCTGGACCGCTGTCAGGGAATACAGCACGTGGAGGTTCAGAAGAAGGTCCAGTCTTCACAGGCGTAGAGCCATGATTTTTGACTCCACAGCGGCAACACTGTGCCTGGCTCTGGGACGGTGGCAAAGATCCAGTGAGGCTCTGAAGAGCAGAGCCTCATCCCACTGTCCACCCAGTGTTATCAATGAGATCTGTTTTTACTTTTTCCTTTAACCATGGCCCTAATTGTCCTTACCTGAAGCTGTATGCAAAATCCTGCTGGCACCCACTGCCTGCTTATTAATTACACAATAGCTGGGAGGAGCGGACATCACTGATGTCCAGTGACTATTTTTAAAGGGACTTAGCTAAAGCCTACTGTGCTATTAAGCTGTGCTTTTCATTGCATTTTTATTGAGATGTGAGAAATCCCTCTTAAGTGTATTAAATTGATAAATCTCTGAGCGTTTGTATTAGACATAGGATTATGGGAGGATTGGGAAGTGATGCTTTTAGAGCCCATGAGCTAGTTACTCTTGCCATCACACCCGGAACTGTGAGATCTCTTGGCTCAGATGGTGTGATCATGCAGAGATCAGTGGAGGTGAATAGGAGAGAAGTCAACTTTGTGGTAGGGCGAAAACAAAGTACATTTAAAAGGATAGTTCACCCCAAAATTCAAACTGCCGCGTTTCATCTTATAAATGAGATGATTTATAGTTTCTAATATTAAAGGAATAGTTTGCCCAAAAATAAAAAATTAGCTGGAGCTTTGCTCACCCTCAGGCCCATGTAGATGGGTTTATTTCTTCATTAGATCTGATTTGGAGAAATTTAGTATTGCATCACTTGCTCACATGTGGATCCTCTGCAGTGAATGGGTGCCGTCAGAATGAGAGTTCAAACAGCTGATAAAAACATCACAAAAATCCAGAAGTAATCCACACGACTCCAATCCATCAATTAGCAAGTTGTAAAGTGAAAAGCTGCATGTTTGTAAGAAACAAACCCATCATAAAGGTGTGTTAACTTTAAACCATCACTTCTGGCCAAAACAAACAAACAAACAAAAAGCAGTCCATAATCAATAATAATGCTTCCTCCGGTGAAAAAGTCTATCCCTGGTTGTCATCTTGAATTAAAGCTGTACAGGTGTTAATACTGAATGTTTAACATTATATTCATTGCATACATCCTTAACTCCTTTCTGCTGTCTGTTGTTGGTGTTTCTTTGTTTGAATATGGTGCTTATCACATGCTGTTTGGTATCGGGGAATTTTAACGAGTACGAGTACAGGAGACCAGTATCGGGCCTGATATCGCTATCGGTGCATCCCTTGTTCTAATAAAGGAACAAACTAATCTACATCTTAGATGGCCTGAGGGTGAGTAAATATTTAGCAAATTTTCATTTTGGAAGAATTTGTCTTTAAGTGGGTAAAATGTATTGTTTAGCTCTTTTGGTGTTTATTGTTTGTGTGTACACTACACTCCCAGAGTGCTGATAAAGTGTAATATTACATCTCTCATGCTACTGGCTCAATTGCCTGTTTTTTTTGGCCCACACACAAGATATAAAAATTAATTTGTCTCTTTCCACTGCCGTTGCATTTGATGCATGGGTCTTGCTTTAAAACCAGTGTTTGCTTATGGGTTCTTATGTGGACATTAAAAAAGATTAGATGAAATAAAACCTCTTTATGGTCATGAATTATCTGAGATGTCTAATTCTTTATTTGGAAGCTCAGGGAGTAAAAAGCAATGTTAAAAGTTTATCACTCCACCTCACACACATTCTCTTTTTTTGCCCTCTGACATTTGCGTTATTTTACCATATCTATCTTTTGCTTCATGTTTGAGTGTAATTTGAGCTAAGCATTATGATCTGCTGATAGGTCTGATAGACACA